CAAAACCATATGTTCTTATCATGTAAAGCAAATCCAGGCAATACAAATATTCTAACTATAGCATAGTTAATACTACCCCAATTAACCCATCCCATGCTGTCCCCTTATCTCCCTCAAGCCCACTTTCACAGTTTTATCCTTCTCCTCAGGAGAATTTCAGTTCCTTGGTGCAAAATAGCCAGACTTCATGTTAGTACTTTTGTCCGGGTTGCTGCAGTTAATTGACTAACCTGCTTATTCCCTGCTAGCCATTTGTACGAGGCGGTCCAATTAACCCCCAAAGAGAAATTAAAACTCAGGGCATTATTGGTATCTAATAGGTTAATATCCTTATCTTCATGAAACAGAAAATAGTAAGTCATGGTGGGGGGTCATAATATTGTCACATTGCACATACACTGTTGTACAGGTGGCCTTTGAGTATACTTTTCCCGCCACACAATCTTTTCCAATCCAATAATACAAACACAAATTTTCCCATCATAGTATACTTCAAGCTACATACTCTACTCTTGAGGGCATTCTGCACCAAAAACTTTAAAACTCTGCACACAATATTTTAAAATTCTGCAAATTTTATTTGTCAAATGAATGTGGAAGCTCCAGCATGGTACTGGGGAGTACAGGCCACTGGCTGCACAGAGGCTGGAGATCACTGTGCAGCTCCCCTCCCCCCCCACCCCCCAGGGACACGGACTCAGCGGTGAGGCTGCACCCAACCCTCACACGGCGCAAGGACCCGGCCTGCCCCAGAAACACCCCAGGGTCCTGCCCTTCTGTCTGGGCAGGCAGGCTCAGCAAGGCAGGATCCAACTGTGGAGGGGCTTAATGTGGGGGGAGCCAGGTGTGGGTTGAGAGGGTTCTGTGTGGGGCAATCTGGGTGTAGGTGGCTCAGTGGGGGATCCGGGTATGGGGACGGGGGGGAATCTGGATGCACAGGGGCTTTTTGGGTGGTTCTGGGTGCAACGGTAATGGAATGCTGCAGGGGGGTCCAGGTGAAGGTGGTTGGGGCTCAGCGGCGGGGCGGGGGTTAGGTGTGGAGGGGATAGAGCTTGGCAGGGGGGTCTGGTTGTGGGGAGCTCAGTGGGGGAGTTCAGATGCTGGGGGAGTGGGGCTCAGTGCGGTGGGGATCCATTGTAGCTGGCTGGCGCTCAGTGGGGTGGGGATCCGGTTGCACAAGGCTCATCAGGGTGGTCCAGGTGCAGGGGGAATGGGGGTTCTCGGGGGGGGGGGGAGGTGAGGCTCAGCGGGAAGGTCTGGATGCACAAGGGTTGGGCGGATATGGGAGCAGCTCCCTGTACAGGAATCCCTCCCCCTGCAGCTGAGAAGCAATGGGTGCAGGAAGCAGGGGCGGGGTGGTTTGCAGAGCTTCCTGCAGCCAGGAGAGAAATCTGGGGGTGGGTCTGACCTGGCCCTGGGTGCTGTGCAGGGGAAGAGGAAGTCCTGTCCTCCCCAGCCCAGCCGGGACTAGAAGCTGAGCCTGGCGCAGGGAAGGAGCCAACAGCTGGGTCTTCCCCAGTCCTGCCTCTTGCCCCACAGTGATTTACTTCTCTGCCAGCTACCCTGGGAACCCGAAAAATACTGCTGGGGAGGGTCACATGACTGTTCTTGGGGCTTCCCTTTGCTTCCCTGCCAGAAAGTCATTTTTCTACAGGAAAGCAAAGAAATATGCAGGGGACATAAATTCTGTGCATGTGCAGTGGCACAGCATTCCCCCAGGAGTAATACTCAAGCCTTCACTGTCATCAAAAAGGCATCCCACCCACCTCTCCAACTACCGTGTTCTCTCATTCAGCCGCCAAGCTTTAGGGGAATCTATCAAAATTCATAAAGCCACCTTCTTCTCCTCTATATCCCTTCTTAAAACACCTCTCTGCAATCAACCTACCATTAGGTCTGCAATTTTTTCCACCTGGCATTAGTTAGACAAGGGGCAAGCTGCAACTTCTATTTTTCTTCTCAACTCTGTTAATTTTCTTATCTCATCCTTCCACCCCACCCCATCCCCACATGATTTTATGGACTTGTTACATGCTGCTTGACACCTACAATGCAAGCTTTCTCGGGCAGGGACTGATATCTTTGTTATTTGTCTCTTTAGTACACTGCACAATGGGGCCCTGGTCCTTGGTTGCATTTCCTAGGTGCTACCATAACACAAAAAACACTAAAAAGATCCAAAAAAGTTCAGCTGAAGTTGACTATGGAATTCCAAAGAGTTCCCAGACTGGGAGGCTAAGTGGCCTTTATGTCAGGAAGATGGCTAAAGCCATTACTAGCTTTACCAAAGCAAGCAAGAAAAGGCTAACCTCCACCATCAACCAACATTGGCTTCTGCAGGACAAAAAGAACCAACAGACCTGGAACTTTACAATAAATAAGGAATGGTATTTATAATTACAAACTTATTTCTCCTCTTTTGCCTTTACCTCAACTAAACCATTTTCCAACTATACCACGTGATGTGACATGACATGAAGGGGCTCACTTCTCTTTGACATCTGTTGCAGATCGGTTGTTCAACAGTAAGGGATAGATTAATTATAGTCATGTATATTTTTACACTTGGGCTACAGCTAGTATGGCTTGTTATGCCAGTTAAGTTTTACTGAATTATGTACATTAAAAAATTCAGATACAGAACAATTAAGTTACGCTAATTTATTTAACCACATGATCTTATTCCTGTTACCTTTGTCCTCCCTTCCCTAGTGCCTGTCTCTTATTTCATATTAGACTGAACTCTTTGGAATAGGCACTATAGCTGCCTATGTGTTTATACACTGCAAAGCACAATGAGGCCCAAATCTTAGTTAGGGACTTTGTATACTACTGCAATATAAATAAAAATATATCTTGTTCCCTCTCACATCCCCTCCAGTTTCCTAATAACCATATTTGCCCACTAGAAACAGTATGTGTAGACATAAGGCCAGATCTTGTCTATTGTCTCTATTCTTCCTCCTACCCCTTCCATTACTTTGCTAATAGCTATTAATGATAGACACTTTCTAGACATATTTGTTTTAGGTTTGCATCCCTCTATTCCGTACCCCGACAAAAAAAGTTTCATATCTCGTATACCACCACTGTGTATACCTATAAAATGTCACCACTGGAAAGGAACATAAAAGATATGTATATACATAAAGTCAAATATTTTAAAACTTCTCATTTACCCTGCCCTCCCACATAACAAGCTTAACATTGGAAATATCCACCCCCTTTATGGTGGCCAGTATTATTTTAGGCCTCTGCTCTGTAAGTAGGACCCTACCAAATTCACAGTCCATTATGGTCAATTTCACAGCCATAGGATTTGAAAATTGGTAAATTTCACATTTTCAGCTGTTTAGATCTGAAAATTCACAGTGTTGTAACTGTGGTGGTCCTGACACAAAAGGGGAGTGTGGGGAGGGTGGCAAACCTCGGGGGGGGGGGGGGGAGGGTGTCACAGGATTGCCACCCTCACTTCTGTGCTGCCTTCAGAGCTGGACTCTGAAGGCAGCAACTGCATAGCTTCCTGCAGCCGCAGGAGGTTCCTGGAGGTGCGTCTGAGCTGCCCCCCAGCCCCCGAAAGCAGCTATGCAGGGGTGGACAAGTCCTGTCCCTCCCCAGCCCAGCTGGAGCTAGGAGCCCCCTGGCTGGGGCACTCCTAGCAGCAGGAGGAAATCAGACTTCACGGGGAAGAGCTTATTTCACAGTCCATGATGCATTTTTCATGGTCGTGAAATTGGTAGGGCCCTATCTATAAGGCACCACTTCGGTGGCAGAGCAAGGAGGCAAGGGTCATGGGATGTTTAAGAAGAGCACAAATGGAGACGCAGCTAAGTAGCCCAGTGGAGTACTAGTCAAGGGGGTACAGCCTCTCTCAGAGGAACAAGATGCATCAGAGGAAGTACAGTAAGGGGAATGCAAAGAATATCCCATCCCCAAAGGGCTACAGAGTGAGAGCAGCTCAACCTAAGGGACGCAAGATGGGGTAGCGTGCCCAGCCCAGGCAGAAAGAGCATAAAAGGTTTCCTGCCTCTGGTGTATGGAGGGGCTAGAGAATATAGAAAAGATGCAAACCAGCCTCTCTTGAGAGGAAACGTGCAGCTAGGCCAAGCCTGAGGGCTGGTCTACACTAGAAGCCCTACATCAGTGCAGCTGTGCCAATGTAGCGCGTCTTGTGAAGACGCTCTATGCCGACAGGAGAGCACTTTTCCGTCAGCATAATTAGTCCACCTCCCTAAGAGACAGAAGCTATGTCGGCGGGAGAACGTCTCCCACCAACACTACGGCAGTGTGGACAGTGCTTCGGTCGCTGTAACTTGCGTCGCTCGGGGAGGGAGACGGGGGTTCTTTTCCACATCCCAGAGCGACACAAGTTAGATTGACTTAGTGTAGACCTGCCCTGAGTGAAGGACATAACCAAACCTGATTGCTGGTGTGGGGAGATGCAGACTTTACCCGACTATCCTTATGCACAAGGATAGTCCAAACCAACCTGAACAGACAATGCATAAGAGTAACTGTCCAGCTTGGGTATGTGAGAGGTGGTTGCCTAGCCTAGGGGGTGGGTGTAGATGGGAGAGAGGAGCTCAGTCTGGCTCAGAGGTGTGGGCAGGGGGGAGGAAAGGGGGCACATGGGAGGGTGCCTGGCTCACGCAGAGAATGCAGGAGGGAGGGAGAAGCCCAGGCAGACAGTGGTGCCTGGCCTAGGGGACAAGAGGAGCCGGAGGACTAGGCGATCCGGGCCAGCACGGCCCTGGGAAGAAGGGCTGAAAAAGGGTGCCTGGCCCGCCCGGAGCGTGCATACGGGGCAGCGGCCCAGCTGGGCTTGGAGGGAGGCGGCGGCCTAAACGGGCGCGGGTACCTGGGCTGGGCGAGCCCGGAGAAGGAGGCCGGGGCGGGGGTGCCCGGCGGGGGGCAGCGCGGGAGCCGGAGGAGGCTCGCGCGCCCGGGGGCTGCCGGGGGGGAGCGCAGCGCGCCCAGGGGCCCGGCCCGCCCGGACTCACGTTCTCCGTGTCCCGCTCGTTCACGGTGGGCAGCGGCGTCCGCGTGGACATCTTGCGGGCGGCGGGCGGGCGGGCGGGCCCCGCGCCGGGGACGGGCCGCCCGGGAGTCCTAGGCCGCGGCGGTGCGGGGGCTGCGGGGAGACCGGCTTCCCCAGCGGGAGGGGACCCGGGGACGTGCCGCGGCGCCGGCCCCGCTAGGTTCCCGGGGCCATGGCCTCCTGCGCGCCCGGGCCGGGATCGGGGCAGCCCGACCGGCTGCGCCTCCTCCTGCTGCCGCTGCCCGCCCAGGTGAGTGGCCGGCAGCGCAGGGGAGCCGGAGCTGCCTCCTCACAGCATCCGGCGACGGCGGCTCCTCCCCCCGCGGCTCTGCCCCTCCCAGCCCGCGCCGCGGGGCCCGGCCCAAGGCACCGGCTCGCTGGATCCGGCCGCCGCTGCTTTTGGGGGGAGAGAAGCCAGCGGCTGCTTCCAGCGCGGGCGGGCGCAGCAAACAGGGGCGCCTCAGCAGCGCCGGGTGGGCGGGCGCAGAGCAGCGCTGACGGCAGGGCGGGGGCCGCGCTCTCTCATTCTTTGCAGGGCCCCTGCCCGGGACGGCCGCTCGGGATCCCGCCTGAGCCGAGCCGTGGCAGCGCTTTGGCGGACGGGCCTTGCGCTCCCGGGCCAGCGGGGGGAGTTCGGGGTTGGGAGTGGAGGGGTTAATTCTCTCTCTCCTCCCCCCGATCCGAAGGGGGCCGTTCACACCCGGGGGCAGAGCCGAGGTTCGGGTGCTGGGGGAGCTGGCAAGGGCCTGGGGGTCGGATAAGCGGAGTTGGGAGTGACTCAGGGCCCGCACGGGTAATCGCTGGTTCGGATAATCAGGAGTTCGGATAACGGGGGGGACAGTAACTATTAAGAGGGTAAACTATGCCCTAGGGCACGATTGAGGTCGGGTAATCGGGGTTGGGGAAGCGATTTATGCCCGGGGTACAGACACTGATTTGGATAAACCGAGGTTCGGGTACCCCCTTCTGTGGGGGGCACAACCAAGGGGGAATCTGCACTCTTGGATGGGCTTCATCGCTGTTAGGAGTCCACACTAACGTGGCTAGGTAAGGAGGGAGGTTTCCCGGGGACATAAACACATGTGGAAAGAAAGAATTTTGGATTTAAGGGATCCAGATGAACACCCTTTTACTGCAGACTCATTAATGTTTCCCCAGGCAAGACTTGCAGCATAGGAGGTTTGCAGTGCATATTTAAGGTCCTGGTTCTTTGGGCATGATAGCATGCCTAAAGTTAAGCATGCACAGACATTTTTACCTTAATTTTTAACAATACTCATTATTAGCATTGAAGAGCAGGCAGATTTCCCTATTTCTGATGGAGTTTATGTAGCTTGCACACCCAGACTATGGAGACTGGGAAACCCTGGATCAGCATCTCTGCAAATTAGGCTATTTATTTATGAGCCCAAATATGCCAGTCTAATTTAAGCATCTAAACAGAAGTCACTGAGACATTGTGCAGGCACAGATGCTGCCGTGCAGCGCACATTGCTGGACAGAGGCCAGTTGTGTGGATTTTGAAACTGAAAGTGACAATGAATTTCATGTTGTTGAAGTTAGAAACATTTTATTTTGTTCTTTGAGAAATTATCAGCTTCTACATAACATCAGTTTTTGATACAAAACCAAACCTTGTGGATCCAGTCTTCCTCCCTCCGCAAATTCTAAAAATGAACATTCTAAACTGAAAGGAAAAAAAAACAACCTTCCCTTCCAGGAAACAAAATTAAAAAAAAAAAACACAAAAAACCTTACCCAGTATTCTATTACGTTTCACTAGATTTTAAACCTGAATTTTAATAAATAAATAAAATCTCTAAATACTGTTCTTCCTCCAAAGCAGCCTCCTGATGAGCAAAGTTTGTGCTTCTGAAATGTGCCAAGAGGCTATGTATGTGAGTGCCCTTCTAGGTTTCCCCACGAAGCAGTCCCCATGCACTGTGATGCAATTAGTGGGTTCACAGGTAGGTACCTCTTTGGTACTTATCACTTGTAGGTAGATGATACAGGAAGTATTGGATGCATGCTCACCGCCTGCTAGCTACTCACATAACTGTCATTCCCAAATGCCCTGGAATCTGCTGGGTGAGTCCTGTCTCTCTAAAAACAAAAGAATCTAACACAGGGCAAACAACTGTGATCTAACCACTATGCCAAAATAAGTTTGTGGCCCGCCTGGGTTATTAACCCATTTTGGTCGCTCAGCTCATGTCAAAATGCATTGTTTTATTCCAAATAAGAACCTTGTGGAGATAAACCCAGATATCTGCATAGGGCCCTTACTTAGGCAAAACTCCTGCTGACTGCAAGATCAGGCCCATCGCAGTATGGATTTGTTCATGGATTTGTGGTCACACAGCAGAAAGCAGCCTAAACTAAAATGTGTATAAATGTATTCAATGTCACCAGTGAGTCAGGATAGGCTGTCTGACTTCCTGTAATAGCATCTGAGCATGAGCCGTCTAATAATACATAAGAGTCTTCGCCAGAAAAATGTATAATACTGCCTTACAATTTGTGTCATTGAAAGTGCTATTTTGCATTTGTCTCATCCATACTTGTTACCTGTTGTTTTAGTAGCTCAAATATATTTTGTTATTAATTAATACAGACACCTCTGCTACCCCATGCCAAGTGGTATAGAGAGGCACAATATCACAGAGAAAGCAACTGATGGGCTATGTGGAACAGGAAAATTATTACAGTGATGCTGCCCTGTTCCCCCCCCCCTCCCCCCAAAATGGCCATGGGCAATGGGTTGTGCAAAAAAAGGGCAGGGCCAGGATGGAGGGAGGAACTGCACCAAGCTGTATGCTCCTCCCTCCCTCCCAGAACCATCAAAGATCTGCAGTAAAATATGTAGAAAGTTATTGCTGCTTCAGGCAGTATTAACTCCCACCTTGTGCTCTGTAAGAGTCCTAGAGCACAACCAGATCTCAGAAGCGCAGTGGCTAGTAGCTCAGCTGCTCTGCTGTAGCTGGGCGGGACTTGGAGATCAGCATACAGCGAGAATAGTGGCTGGATTTTGGGTCCTTTAAATCCCTATCCACTCTATCTCTGACTAATCTTGGAGGCCAGTAGAGGGGATGCAGAGTACTAGGCTACAACCATGAAGTTGTTTTTTTTTTTTTACATTTTTGTTCCCTCTGCATTTTTGCCAGAAATGTCACACATGTATTTGTTGTTTGCAATGTTATTGTAGCCCTGTTGGTCCCAGGATATGGGAGAGACAAGGCTGATGCGGTAATATCTTTTATTGGACCCAACTTCTGTTATTTCTGTGGAAATAACAAGCTTTTGAGCTTCCCAGAGCTCTTCCTCAGGTCTGGAGAAGGTAACCAGAGTGTCCAAGCTAAATATAAGGTGGGACATATTGTTAAGCATAAGGGGTTCACACATGCTGTAGGAGACCATTTAAAATAAAGAGGGCAATTAAGGGTGAGCAGGCAGTAGGGTGTGTTACAAATTGTTGCACTGAGCCATAAAACCAGTGTCTCTTTTAAGACCATGATTTTTAGTCTCCAGCAGAGTTTGCCCACACTGATAGGGTATTTTTCTCTTTTATTATTTTTCTGAGTGAGTTCATTCAAGAGTATAGTGATTATCTGGTTTCACCCACATAATTGTTGTTGGGGCATTTGGTGCGCTGAATGAGGTACAACACTTACTATGATATGCATGCATAGGACCCATGGATCTTGTATTTGTTAAAAGATACCACAATACCCTGTTCCATGAAGAAACTACAGGCTCAGTTGTGCCTTGTAGGCAATGGCTCATCTATCCAAGGGGGAGCTCCAGGAGTGATTCTGCTTTAGCTTCTAGGCATGCAGGCAAAGTGGATTCACTGTTGTGCCTCTTGTGGAGTCCAGGACACTCTCTAGTGTACATAAAGCCAGCTGGCTGGTGCCTAGGCAGAGCCGTGGGCTCTACTCTTCCCCTTCCCACTTGGAGGTGCACTAGACAGAAGCAATCTCTGCAGTCAGGAGCAATGGGACTGCAATTGTGTCCAGTCTCTGCATAGGGACTGCTTCTTGCAGATATTTGGAGTAGCTAGGCACATTCTAGTTTTAATTAAAGGATCAGTTTTACCTTCAGTGACAGAAGGGTTGATAGTCCATTATTTTAATAGTGATCTACAAGTTAAACAGTTCCAGTGGCAAATTTCAAATGCTAACCTGAATGAAATCTCTTCCACAATTTTCAAATTTAATTCACAATGATGTAATAGTGGCAGACACTAAAATTGCACAGAAAATATGATCATTTAAATGTGACCAAAATATAGGGTGAAATCCTAGTCCCACTGAAGTCAAAGTCAAAACTATTGACTTCAGTCAGGCCACAATTTCACCCTTATTGTGGAAAATTAAATTTGAACTGTGTCACAGCTGGCAGAAATGTAAGGAATAATGTATCTCCCACTGTACATAATAAGACTGCAATACCATTAGAGGGTTCTCTGGGGCCATCATAAACCACAGAGACAGGGCTCAATTGGTTATTTAATTTTATCAGAGTCCCAATTATAATTATAGCTCTGAATTTATGTAGACTTTAGAAGTATACTATTGGCTACAACGAAGGTTGTGATTCTGACATGGCAACAATTAGGAAATGTGGTCAAGGTGAAATGGTCAAAAGGAAAAGACTAAATTAAAACATGTCAAAGGGAGTTGTTTTGTGCCCCAAATAATCTTTACTTTTTTTTCTTTTTAATAGGAACAGTGCATTGTTTGATGAAATAGTGATCAAGTTTGGAGCATAAGTTTGATGTGTGTAACAGAGGCCAGAATTTGTCCCAATGTCTCCTTTACCAAAGTGTAGCTAACATGTTTCTCCAAATTTCCCAGATTACTGGGCATTCTCACAGCACGAAGGAACATTTTGTTATTCTTCTTTAGTATCCTATACAATTTTTCAGTGGTCAATCTGAATCCCTAAAAGGAGTGTAAAAAAATGTATTTAATAACAATACTTTATTATATAAATGCTTATATAGCTTTTTTTTCATTAGCAGCTCT